AGAAGAAAGGGAAAAAAAGTGAAAAGAAATAAAATCAAGTAAAACCAAAAAATGTCCCCAAAAGGAGAGGCAGACTGGCATAATGATAACAAAGTAGTTAATATTTATTATTTCATCAAATTATTTCTACAACTCAACGAGTGCACTCATGGGGCTCTGGTGACATATAGGGTTATGCTTTGGGCTACTAATCAACCACAACCAACCACAAAGTCACAGTTTGAAGCTACCAGTGACTCCTTGGGATAAAAATGAGGCTTTCCTATGAAGAGCTGTAGTCTCACAAACCCACAGGGCCAGTTCTACTCTGTCTTAAGGGTCACTATGGATTAGCATCAACTAAATAGCACTGTTTGGTCCTTTATTTTTTATGGTTTTACTCATAGCCAGATGAAAAATTTTGTGCTTCAAATGTGTATTAGGTATTCACTGCTTTATAACACATTATCCCAAAGCTTCACTTTATACCAATTCACAACAAATTGTAGTGCTCAGTTTTGGGGAAGGGACATTAGGCATGTGATCATACAGCTAAAGTAAGACTTTGGTACTATGTTATGAAAGCTGAGGAGAACCACATATCTATTGTAAGTTGGTGGTGTGTGTGTGTGTGTAAAATGATGATTAACCTATTCTTCTGAACTACTACAGTAGGTGTGATGGCACTGTATGCAGGAGACAGCAGACGCTTCCTTTATATACCATAAAATCACTGCAGATGGGCTTAATGAAATGTATATACTGTTCAAGCCTGTAAATTGACCTAAATTCCCTTTCTCCAAACACGTATGCCTGCTCTGTGTGAACACATAAAAGACCTTTGCAGCTCCCAATAAACCTCTGAACTTTGTGAGGCACAACTGATGACAGAATCACTCCTCCGTGATTCTCGTCTCTGGGGAAAGCACCATCTGTTGAGATATATGAGAGCTTCAAAAAGCTTGTGGAATTTTTCATTATCTTTTAACTTCATTTTTCTATGAACTTTTTAAAGCTACTTGCTCTGAGGAACTCAGTAAATGCAGTTTGAATCAAAACAAACTAAACTCAGTGGGACACTTGACCTGCTTTGAGCTCGTGAGTATACACTGGTAGAAATGATACAATCTCCTTTTAATACACTAACATGTAGGCATGGTTGCTTATTTCTCTTTATTAACTACAGAAATATTTATTGAACCCCCACTGTGAATGAAGCATTTTGCTAGATGCTGGAGTTGTATCAGATAAGGCGTTTCAATCGAGCTTACCGATTTTATAACCAGGTGTGAGACATTATATATTCCATATATATTCCATATTCTAATATGGACATAAGAGAGGGGGCCATATGTGAGGGTAAGTCCAGATGTATAGCTACCAGAGTTCCCAGTCATACTTGCATGCATTAAATCCAAACAAAACATGTTCAGCCATGCCTTTGTGATCAGTAGATGATGATATATAAGTTCTATCAATAATACACTTGTCAGTCTCTTTGGGGATCCATCAAAACAGTCACTTCTCAGGACACTTTCAAGGCCAATTACGTCCAGGGCAAAAAGGTCAGCTCAGGTTACAGTGACTTCTTTGTGTTTCCAAAGTGCGAAATCTTTAGATTTAAGAAAAAATCGATTTTTCTTAAAGGATACTGATGACTAAGTTTTAAGAAAAATGAAAATTGCATTATTGAGAAAAATGCCCCGAAACGTGCACTGAGGACTATTTCTCTCATCAGCACAATGTA